TTGAAATTTGTAAATCTTCCAGAGGTCTAAGCAGTGTGTGTACAATTAAGACACATAAACACAATCCATTAGTGTGCCAAGTCAATGAACGATGGTTTGAATTGCAAGGAAAGGTCTCTTTTTTTGATTACATCTTGATTGACCTCAAACGCCAGATTGGAGAAAGAGCAGATGGCTGGAACCCACAATCTGTTCTCCTCTATCTTCATTTGGGCTCTTGCAGAAAGTCGCTCATCTCTAAGTACTGTGTCGTTTGTGTGTGGCATAATTAATTTAATCAACCTTCTTTGATCTAACAGTTAAAACAGTTTTGCTCCTTTGAGACTTAGATTTAAGATATGTTTATTGAGCCCCCTGGGGAGCCATAATGTACGACTGAGGCAAGCAGGGACTGTGGACGCCGATGTTACCGAGGTCACAGATGTTTCTGGAGACACAGCTTTGAATGTAGAGAGCCCTTTATAGGATTCATTTCATTTTACAGCGCTATCCTCTCTTTCTTTCCCTTTATGTTGAGTCATGTTAGTGATGCTTTGGTTTTCTAAGCAGAGCCATATTTGTCGAAATGTGCATTTCATAAAAGCAGTAGCGTTATGTGTCTTAAATAGCACTGATATTTCGTATATTATGAAGATTTTAAGATCACAGATCAACTATTATTTTAAATAAAGCTCAAGTTAACAATGAGCAAAACACAGCTGTCTATTCCTTGGGCTGAACTCAAGAAAGGCCTATCAGTAAACCAGCAGACCATGTCTTCATTTCTTCCCACAGATCAAAAACGGCCTGGCTCAAGTACTCCCTTAGCTTCAGTAAAAACGTAGTCATTTCACACGCAAAGCCTTTTCATTGGGATTACGGCTGTCCAATGCAGCTTTTGGCCAAGCCCACCTCAATGCCAAGGAAAAACACTTGACATGATTGAATAAGCAGAAACCAGCCAGAACATTCCCGCAGCTCCAACAGCCTGGATAAAGACTTATCTGCTTCACCATCTTGTCCAGAGGGATGTGCCTTGTAAAAAGGATTTGACTATATCAGTTAAAGTGTGGATAAGATCATAAGAGCTTCCTGCAAGGGACTGATGTGGGAAAAAAAAGGATATCTACAATCGCGCAAGTCAGTTTGGATGGCTCTTGAACAGGATGATTAGTTGGATTCTCTTCCATTTCAATCTCTCTCTTGCCTTAACCTTTTGCTCATAACTCTCCTAAAATTCCCAAGGGAAGAGACGGGGAGCATAGAAGTCTTGACCCCATGAGAGGACAACGCTTGATAAACGACCGCAGAAGGTCAGACCTCTGATTGGTATTCAGCCTCCTCCGTCTGAGTGCTGAACCAAAACACCCATGTCTGTCCCCTAGAGTGCAAATTACAATGCTGACTGTGATAGATACTCAGTGTTGGCGGATTCTGAACTTTCTCTGAGAGGGTATAACAGAGTGTAGTCTAAAGTGGGCGGAGGGACGCCCCAGGTAATATGTCACCAACTGCGTCTCTGACAGACTTCGAGTTGGGTGGATGATGCTGATGGATGAATAACCTTTGGGCGTTTTTACTGGAATTAATGATGAGGTGTGAAGTAACTAAATACGGTGTGTGGAATCATCGACTACACCTCTTTCTTCCTCTTCCAACTCCACAAACGTGCAGTGGGGTCACAGACAGTTTTCAGCAGCTGAGTGTGGAGACGTTTGACCTTTAAAGGGTATCTCAAGATGCTGGCCAGAGAGCCCTCTGTGACTGAAGAGCACAAGACGAGAGAGAAAAGGGGCATAATTTTCACTGCTCGTACATCAAGAGACATTGTGTCACATACATTGGGTACTAGTAATTTCACATTTTGATCAGAAGAGTAATCTGCCTTCCAGGTCAGCAAGAAAAATACCTTCCCAAATGATGGCTTCCCAACCACAGGACATCACTGAAGAAGACTGACAACACTAATCATTATTTACTTTAATTTTTCATCAGAACACCATAAAAGCATATATATATATATATATATATATATAATATATATATATATATATATATATATATATATTTTTTTTTTTTTTTATCAGAGCAAATTTTGTTGATTACTTGATTTCTCAATTCCTTGCCACTCCAACTTTGGTCATCTGTGCCACAAAGCTTTGCATGACTTACTCATGACGTCCCCTATAACTATTTTCAGACATGCCTTCTACTTTACTTAAAGACTTTGTGTAACCATATGCATAAGACGATACTGCAGTGATTCATAACATCGTGAGCTGAATGGGCACCCTAAATGGTATTTAGCCATGCAGCATGCCAACAACATATTAAATTGGAAGATGAAATATTCACTTTCTACTTAACCCTATGTTCTCTGAAACCAATGCTATTGGCCCCAACTTTAACACAGCCCACAAACTAACAGGTGCCATGGCAGAGACGATCAGTGTTGGTCAATTTACCGCTCAGTATTGTTACGCCTCACATCTATATAGAGTTAGGGCCAGAAATATTTGGACAGTGACACAGGTTTTGTTATTTTAGCTGTTGACAAAAATATGTTCAGAAATACAATTTATATATAATATGGGCTGAAAGTGCACACTCCCAGCTGCAATATGAGAGTTTCCACATCCAAATCGGAGAAAGGGTTTAGGAATCATAGCTCTGTAATGCAGAGCCTCCTCTTTTTCAAGGGACCAAAAGTAATTGGACAATGGACTCTAAAGGCTGCAAGTAACTCAAAAGGCCTTTCCCTCGTTAACCTGTAATCAAGTAAGTAGTTAAAAGGTCTGGGGTTGTTTCCAGGTGTGTGGTTTTGCATTTGGAAGCTGTTGCTGTGACCAGACAACATGCGGTCAAAGGAACTCTCAATTGACGTGAAGCAGAACATCCTGAGACTGAAAAAAAGAAAAAATCCATCAGAGAGATGGCAGACATGCTTGGAGTAGCAAAATCAACAGTCGGGTACATTCTGAGGAAAAAGGAATTGACTGGTGAGCTTGGAACTCAAAAAGGCCTGGGCGTCCACGGAAGACAACAGTGGTGGATGATCGCCGCATACTTTCTTTGGTGAAGAAGGACCCGTTCACAACATCAACTGAGGTCCAGAACACTCTCAGAGAAGTAGGTGTATCTGTCTCTAAGTCAACAGTAAAGAGAAGACTCCATGAAAGCAAATACAAAGGGTTCACATGTAGATGCAAACCATTCATCAATTCCAAAAATAGACAGGCCAGAGTTAAATTTGCCCAAAAACACCTCAAGAAGCCAGCCCAGTTCTGGAAAAGTATTCTATGGACAGATGAGACAAAGATCAACCTGTACCAGAATGATGGGAAGAAAAAAGTTTGGAGAAGAAAGGGAACGGCACATGATCCAAGGCACACCACATCCTCTGTAAAACATGGTGGAGGCAACGTGATGGCATGGGCATGGCTTTCAATGGCACTGGGTGACTTGTGTTTATTGATGACATAACAGCAGACAAGAGTAGCCGGATGAATTCTGAAGTGTACCGGGATATACTGTCAGCCCAGATTCAGCCAAATGCTGCAAAGTTGATTGGACGGCGCTTCACAGTACAGATGGATAATGACCCCAAGCATACAGCCAAAGCTACCCAGGAGTTCATGAGAGCAAAAAGGTGGAATATTCTGCAATGGCCAAGTCAATCACCAGATCTTAACCCAATTGAGCATGCATTTCACTTGCTCAAATCCAGACTTCAGACGGAAAGACCCACTAACAAACAAGACCTGAAGGCTGCGGCTGTAAAGGCCTGGCAAAGCATTAAGAAGGAGGAAACCCAGCGTTTGGTGATGTCCATGGGTTCCAGACTTAAGGTAGTGATTGCCTCCAAAGGATTCACAACAAAATATTGAGAAAAAACTTTTTTGTTTGGGTTATGTTTATATGTCCAATTACTTTTGAGCTCCTAAAATGTGGAGTGTTTGTAAACAAATGTGTACAATTCCTACATTTTCTATCAGATATTTTTGTTCAACCCTTTAAATTAAACGTTACAATCTGCACTTGAATTCTGTTGTAGCGGTTTCATTTCAAATCCAATGCGGTGGCATGCAGAGCCCAACTCACGAAAATTGTGTTACTGTCCAAATATTTCTGGCCCTAACTGTATCCAGGTGATATGACATGTTTATGATAAAGTTATCATTTGCATAAGAGAACAGCCATTAATAGAAGAGATCAGAAATTAATTACACTGACTGCTTAAATTTTAGAGCAGTAAGCAGAACCTCTTTAACCTTGACTTGTTTTCAGTTTTCAGTATGTGAGCTGCCAAAATCTGCTTTGTCTTGGAGAATAAAAAAACAAAAACTTTCCCAATAAGGCTCTTAAAAACTGGATGATTAATTTAGCAGAGGGCGCTTCTCATCATGTTAGCAACTTTTCATTCTGATTGGACAAAAAAAAAAAAAGGAAAAGGAAAAAGTGGACATCTTTCTTGCAGCTGTGTGCAAAACTACCTACTCTGATTTAAATGAGCTTTATTCCCCAGAGTGCAGGGCATTGTTGAAGCAGGCATGTTTGAGCAGCTTCAACACAAAGAGCATCACTGATTGTGCAGTAGCTGCATGCAGATCACAACTTTTTGCAGCCAAAAACATTAATGTGCGCTTCCATAACTATAATGTGTTAAAACCTGTTTATTTTTTTTTAAAAAATATTAATTTCTTGACATATTTGCACTTCAATTTGACCTTTAAACAAAGAAAAATTATATATTACTATATTATCTTAAAATGCAAAACAACACATTGCAGTTAGTTCTTTTTTTTTTCTTCCTCTTTCCGTAATCCAGAGATCAATCAACCATTATCTCTAAAGTCAACAACAACAACAACAAAGCAATGATTTATAGGTGTTTACAGAAAGACATGTGAGCAGCAGCGGCAAACTAGTCATCCCCACCAAACGCAGAGCGGCTGACAGGAGAGAGAAAGAAGCGGGCGATGATGATGATGATGCTGCTGCGCTCTGTGGGCGAACCCTACCTGTCATCGTAGCAGAAATCCGCGTCCAGCGTGTTCAGATAGAGACCCACAGCCACGGCGGTGCACACCAGCTCCGTGATCATCTCTCAAAGCCAAAGAAAGCGGGACATAAACAGTCAGAAAATAGAATCGTCTCTCTCTCTTTCTCTCTCCTTCTCTCTCACTTCTCCGTTATTGTGCTCTGAGCTGAGCCGCTCGGCAGCGCGGAGCTCCGGGCATGATTCCCCTGTGTCAAGCAAAGTGTGTCAAAGTTTGCCATGTCCCCTCTAACCCATCGCAGTGAGAGAGCAGGGGTCAGGGCTCTGCTGTCCCCGGATCCGGAGCGGAGCTGTGCGCATTTCGTTGCTGCCGTGCAGTCAATGAGCGCATCTCTCTCTCTCTCTCTGGTGCTGGAGCAGAGGCTGGAGGAGGAAGACGCATGTGGGTTTTCAGCTCAGACTGAGCATGCGCACTGAGACTGTTCTTGGAAGGTACGACACCGTACACAAAAGAGGGGAGGGGAAGGGGAACCGGTTCAAAAATGATATCCCATTTATTTAAAATGCTGTTGAATTATTTCCAGCTTCAACAATAGACTAGCTGAGCTTTTGATGTTAGAATATGCATGCCACATGAATGAGTGATCTGTGATGCATTGTGAACATATTTAAAAATAAGCCATCTCATGCAGTTTCCTTACAAAAGCATCACATCCATTGAAGCATTTCACAGTGTTACTACAACCTCCAACTGCAGTTTATTTTATATTAATTAGAGGTGGCGGACCACTATGGACCCCACAGGTCACACTTTGTGGAACCAGACCTCCAAGTACCTGTCACATCTACCTGTCTGTGTTTGCATTCTGATTATTTTCTTATCGTTTATTTATGCCCAGATTTAGGAATGCCATATTATTGTTCCAAATGTCTTGCTTTGTACATTTCGGTTGTAGGCCTATTCTGTAGACCAGTGATATTTTATGCCCTTCTTTGAGTCTCTGTTAATGGTCCATTAACTTCCATGAATCCCTATTGTTACTTCATATTGACTAGCAAGAAGCCATAGGCATTTTTCTGCATCATAATCAAATTTAAATGAAATGCTGAGGGGCCAGAGAAGCCCTCGCTTCACATTATCGCATTCGTATAACGAATTAAAAATATTGATTGATTTCCCCTTAATCTACCCCGTCGTCTCTGTGCAGAGGCTAAACACAGGGGGGTCCTGAGCATGATGAATGTACCCTCGCCTTTCAGCCTATGGTTTGCATGTATATGGGCATCGGCTTGGAAACGAGCAACCTGGTCCCGCTGGCTACCAGCCGGACGGAAACCTGTCCCACAGTTGGAGCTCCGGCGGGTGTAAATGCACCACAGAGCTTTGGAGAAACAGAAACAGATGGTTGATGACGGATGTGTGGCGCACACAGGTGTTGGCTCTGAATTACTGAGACGGTGACGGAGCATCTTGAGGGGAGGTTAGAGTCGTTTGTAAGAGTGACCTGATTCAGAATGCAGCGTGACCTCAACCTCGTGGAATCTGCCGGGTTTGTCAGGAGAAACGATTGCAGTGCTTTTGGACCTGATTGTTAGACGCATAGCTGACTTTATTTGAGTTCATCTGTCTTCTGAGGTAACAGGACCTCATAGGTTACACTTGTTGTTGGCTCGCTAGACGAAGAACCTAAAAGATAAACAAGCTTGTTTACTTTTAGTCATTTCAGTCTTCCATATAACAGCAAACTACATAAGTGATGAAAAGATTACTGAAGAAATCAAGATATTGATGCATTTATATTTCTTTCCTAACCAGGCAGCATTACATTATGTCACATCAATGTGATCTATCAACACATTTCTAAAAAAAAAAACAGACTTTGTGAAGATACTTTTGGTTAATCTATGTCAACAAATGAGATTTTATGGCAAACAAAAGATCCAATTTCCTCTGTCTGTATGTTCTTTGCCTGACGTCTGACCCCTCTGATGCTCTTGGAGTGATTATCTTCACAACATGAGTCTTCCAGAGTGAGCAGCGGTTGTTTCCAAGATGCTTTTCACTCCGGAACGGCGGCATCTCCACCCCAGTAGATAAACATCTCACAGGAAACAGACCATCAGGGTTGGAGGGACCGGGCTTCGCTCTGGTCTCACGAAAATAGACTCCATTAATATCAGCAGCAGAGCAGCTGATATTAACGCTTCCGAATGAAAATCCACCCCAATTGGGAAGCTGCCACTTCCCAATTCTGCCCAGGAAGACAAAGAAAGTAAACTTCATCCCGAACTGGATGGAACATGATGAATGTTTGGGTTAGGAACTAATTTTGGAAGATGAGGCTAATTAAGGGTAATTTGTTTTGTTCATGAAAGCAGAGAAAAATCCCACAAACAGGCTTTGAAAGTTTTTTTTTTTTAAATTAGAACGGAAAATAATGTGATACCAATCCTTATGGAGAAAGCTTAGGGGAAAAGCTAAATTCCCCTAAGCATGAAGAACATGTTAGAAATATTTATATACATTTTTAAGTTTCATTGCATTTTCTTTAGTGCTCTGTATTCCGATGATCTGATCTCAGTTTCAACAATCGACGTTTCAGCCTTCATCAAAGTTCATTTTACATTTTAGCTTCAGTGTGTCACAGCCAGCAGACAAATGCAAACAGGCTGCGGCTGTCAAAACAGAAAACTTTTTTTTTTCTTTTTACAAGCTGAGGTTCAAATATGTGACTTGAATTTGCTTTCCAGTCACATTTGCCTATGAAGAGCCTGTTTTCTATCACAAGATATTTTAGATTGATCTAATATGACTTATTTCTTCAGATCGGGAAGAACAGACAGAAAAGGGAAAAACTGGCAAGGATGCATTTTGTATTCAACCTTCAGTCCATTCTGCTGGCTGAACAAGGGGGAGTATCGATCAGTAAAGTAGCTGAAACACAACAACTATTAATCTTGCACTCCACAGATCTGGTGTTAATAGAGATGTGGTGAGAAGTAATTTCATTTAAAGTTTGTGCAGGACCAGGGAAGCTTATGAGGATTGATGAAAAGTTGTTTGTAGTTGAATACAAGGCGAATAGTTCAGGATGAGAAGTGGGGTGGAGGTTCAATATGCAGCCGGAGGTAATATGAAATGGTTTGGACCAACGCATACTGTATACATGTGCTATAAAGGCATTCTCAAAGACCAGACCTTAAGGCAAATGAGAATTTATTTAAAAAATATTAACATTTGTATTCACAAATCCAACTGAATTTTAGCAGTAAAGACAAACGGACAAGAGGCAAAAACCTTCAGCTCCAACTGCAGCAAACAGGAGTAAAGGTATTTTGTCATCTGAGCTAACTCTGTGTGTATGTATGCCACATTTATAATATTTTGGTGAAAAAATCGAAGTTTAATCCACTTTGTTTTGGTTCATGACATAAATCCCCAAATAAATGACAGAGGCTTTTGTGGCATGGCAAATCAAAATTGTGGAAAGGGTGGAAAAGACCCCCAAACATTTAGAGCAGTGTGTCAGATAAAAATGACAGATAAGTTATTTAAATCTGCAACAAGCTGATTGGGACTGCAGACATCTGATCAAGCAGTGAAGACAATGTGCCAGTGAAGGAACAGGCAGATGGTGCCCAAGTTCTCTCCGATGGCAGCCTGCTATCACACCTCTCTAAAAAAAAGAAAAAAGTCACACATAAAAGATATCATGACAAACAAGATTCCTGGAAGGAATCTGGGTTGAGAGGAAATGTACTTCAAAGGGGATGGCTCTTCAAATATTCATACAAAGCATCCTGCATCCTCCTTCTTCAACTTTTTCCGCATTATTTTTTTGGCAGAGTTGAGATGATAAATCCCATTATTTTCCTTCCAATTCCAAACTCTAATTACACTCTAACAAAATCAGATGAAGCTTTATGTATGAAGCCCTTGGCTTTAGGGATTTCTGGAGATGAATTTGGAAATCAGAGAGGATTACAGAGGCCTGGATTCAAGCAGCTCTGTGAGAAAGTCTCATCAAAGCCAAAAGCGAATACGTAAGCCGGACTCCCCTCACTTCCATACCACTTCCTCCAACTCCTACCTGGCAGGGAAAAGTCCTTGTAGGTGGTACGGCCTTCTTCATTCGGACTATTTGTGTCTCAAAGCCTTCACCGCATCCTGCTGAGAACCTTTTCCTGCCATCTGTTAAGTGCAAAGCCAGGAAATTGGAGTTTACCTACCCTCCCATTGTAAACTGGTAGCAGATTTGTGTGCGGCGTTTTTCTTCCCCCTGCGTGGACACTTGAAAGAGGCTGGATGAGTTTTGCACAAACATGCGTGTGACCATCAAGGCAGGTTTGACAGGATGTGACTCAGTCAGTGAAAAGAAAACCCCAAGCGGTGGCAGACTCCGTCCCAAAATCCCCCTACCCCCAAATAAAACAACACAAGCTCACATCTGTGACTTTCTTTCATTTTCGTCTGCTCCATGATCCGTCTTCACTGGGATATAAATTTTAAAAAAAGGCTGTGGGACGTAGTGCAGTTTCACCGCCACAGCTACTTGAACCCTGTGAATGGGCTGCAGATGTGCCGGTTGCTGTAACCGGCACGACAGATGGAGGACGCAGGAGAAGGTGTGCGACAGGAAGAGATGGTTAATATCAATCTGCTCTGAATCTAACAGATCTAACAGTTTCAGGCTTAATTAGTTCAGGATCTTTGCTTTTTCTTTTTTTTGTAAGAATCAATGATTTCTAGCTAGAGATGGGCACCAGCACCCCTCCCAACCCCACTAGGGACAATGGTGTTAGAAAATGGATGGATCAATGCTTTCTGCATTTAAAAAGGGTCCTGAAACATCTGCTCTAATCATTTATGATTCAATGGCGAATACTGAAACAGAGCACATAAAATTTAAGCCAATTATTTTCTTTTGTTTAAAATTCACTTTTCCGTTACCAACACTATGTAATTCAAATTGTCCCTGAATTGAATCACATTTTATAATGTTACCAACACAAGTAGTGCACAGTTGAGTGCATATGTGTCGATCTAAACCATTCCAATTGAGCCATTTCTTTTCACGTCTACCCTTTAGATGGCTCTATATGTCTTCCAATCAAATATCAAATTTGATCTGCTTCCCTTAGTAGAAAAGAATCCCCAAAGCATAATGCTGCTGCCACAATATTTTACTGAGAGAAAGATATCATTTTGGTCTGATCTGATTTAAAAGTCCTTCTTTCACATGTTTTGCTTTATTCCCTTGGCAAAGCTGCATTTATGTTGAAATTAAGCTACACACAAGTGGAGTCTCCTAAATAATTAGTATGGAATACAGCATGTAAATGGTTACATTTTCATCATTTTTATTAGTATAAAAAAACAGGAAATATTTTCCTTTTACTTCACTATGGTGTGCTAATTTGAGTTAGCATACTACATACAATCTCAAGAGAATGATTCTGATGGTTTAACGATGTACAAGTTGTGACTATTATAAAACCAACAGGAAAAAAGAGAATAAGTTGCATTCAGCATCTCTCCTCAACGTATTTCTCAACCTTAACTAGAAATGAGTTTTCCAGATGTGCCCAAAGTTCACTCAAATCCCAAAATACCCCCAATTCCCTGAAGGGTCCTTTAAAACGAGTTTTCTTAAGAGTCAAGTGACATTAGGCTGCAAAATACATCATTCAATCACACAGGCCCCACAGAACTTACAAGTATTTCAAAGTATTGGAAAACTGCAAATGTTTCATGTATGTGGCCCATCAGAAACCAAATCGCAGGTAAAATACAAACTTGAGGATTGAAATGCTCAATCAATGAATCTAATGAAACCAGGAGGTCACGATGCACTTCAATAGTCGTTTTCAAGACAAATATGCCGACAATCATATACAAATATAATCTAAGTGTATTATCTCCATGTGCATATGCATAAGTGTCTCAGCTTTTTAGTTTTGTAGAATGACTTTTAAGTCCGACGACGGCGTAGCATCTTGGAGACAGCAGGGGGTCGAATAGCTGAACCAATGCAGAGAACGACACACCCTCCTAAAGGACACAAGAAACACATTTCACACAATGCCTGGCTAAAGTATAAACCATGAGTCCCGGTCATGAAGCATCAAACGGATGGTTCTTGACCAGGACTTTTGATAATTCAGTCTTTTGATTCAAGTGTAAGAGCAGGAAGGCACCCAAACGTTCCAGAACATCGGCTCTCGAGGAATGGAGATGCAGATCATTAGGACGGGGTGATCAGGGTGGTTCAGTGTTAGTTTTCCAACGCACTCTGAGATTTAGATGTTTATTGTTTTTTTTTTTTTAGAAAAATACCTTGCAAATTTCGCACTTGTAGACTTAAAATAAAATAAACCTTTTTATTTATTTTATGCGATAAATAAATAATCACATAATTATAATTTCTGTTCTGTGTGGTGTTTATCTTGGAGAACATTCAAAAAATTGGTTTAGAGTGAACTCCTGTTTGTGTGTAAGAACACTGCCTGCATCTGTCGTGTCTACAATTAATGCAACAGAAAATTTACTAAATACCTCAATCTGTCAGTGTTGGGTTGGATAAGTTTGGCCTCGCGTGATTCCGAACTCATCACCACCTGGATTACATTACTGTACTTCTATCATCATCGTTTTCATCCTCGAGGGACAGCCTTTAGCCCAGACCAGTGATGTTGATGTTACGTAGTTTGATTACATGACCCTAATGAGGAAATCCATCTGACACATTAACTGCATGTAATCACCACTTCAAAGCTTTCGTATCGCCTCACGATGACTCGGAGCAAAGATTAGCTTGTTGTGTTTGGCTGCCGAAGCAGAAGACTGTGAAACTGCAGGCTGCGTTCAATTTGGCTGACACCTACATTAATGTCAGTGGTCCTGATTTCGGCGGACATCTCTGCATGTTCGCTTTAATCATTGGGGAGGCGTATTTCAAATCCCAATCAACGAGCTGTAGGAGCCAATCACAAATGATGAGTCCAGCTGAAACATAATGAAAGGAAATCAGAGCTGGAGCACTGCTTGGGTGATCAAATCAGCTGCGTTTGTTGCTCTATTTTCATCTACTTTGTTCGATTGTTTGTTCTTTTTTATTTATATCCGAAGATCCCTAAAAAGCACTTAACAGTGTAGATCTGTTACTGATCTACTCCAGTGATGAGTGTCCTTGGCTCTGCAATGTTATTGCTGATTTCATGTGCAACATCAAAGCTGAATCAAACTCCCAAACCAAAATTGCACAATCCGTCACATTTCTGGCACAATGCAAAAGCCCTAAGACATATTAATCTTTCATTGCAGTCGCATCATAACAGTGAAGGGATCGATGCAATTGTCAAACAGTGAACCAGGCCATCCATACCACTGTGTTGCAACATAAACCTTATCCAGAATTTTTGCTTAGGTATGGTGCACAGTACCTACTTTCCAGCAGCCATTGTTTTACTTGTGCAGCTCAAGTGGCTAAAAAAGAAGGATGTTTTATGTCGAGTAAAACAGGAAGTCATAAAATGCAAATAAAATTTCTCTAGGCAATCAGATTAAAAACAGTAAGCACTTTAAGTGCTTCAGTAAGACTTCTTTTGCATAATTAAATACAGTAATTAAATAAAAAAGTGATGTTTTTTTTTCCACTACAAATGTATTCAAATTAATGGCTTTTCCAGGGAATTTTCTTTAATACTAGAGAAACATATTGAGTAGTTATAAAATGTGTTTTTGAAATCATTCATTTCTTATGAGTAAAAAAAAACAATCTGGACTTTCTCCCTTGTTACTTCAAGAATTAAGTGTAACTGTCTACATTTCTTAGAAAATGGAGTTTAATTTAACTAGTCACGCCCAAGCCTGATGACTGTCTGACCTGGAGAACAAAGGCTTGGTGCAGGTGTCAGTATTGGATTGCTCTGCTGATTCAAAGCTTGGACAACATGCTGAAATTGATGGAACCATGAAATCTGAATCAGAGTCTTTATGTCTTATATTGCTTAGTAATTCTGCCAATAAGAGTCAATCAAAATTAATCCGATGTAATAAAAAAAGACTCGCGGCCAGATATTTGAAACAACTGTGGTTTTACACAATTTAAAGAGACGAACACATTACCTGTTCTTTCAGGTAGCAGAGACGATCCAGCAGAATCAGACCCTCGATGCATGGAGCAAGGGCCACCTTCAACTGCAGAAAGGAAGCCGTGCGCAGTCACACTACGGTTATTAAAAGGAGCTTTTTTGATGCAGTTTAAATGTTCCTGTGAGTCACTCCCTTTAGATCATGTCTTGTTCTGACATTTAACATAAAACAGCTCTGAGACTTGTTCCCATCCTGTTGCTAGAGTGCAATCACCCCCAAAAAAAGAGAAAGATTTGTGTTTTATGTCCGGAAAGTAAATTTGTATTGTGGCTGACACCATAATTAGCAGCCTCAGGGAAAACAAAACCAGGGCTGGTTTTCTTCCTCGGTTCAATTTTAGTCACATAATTCCCCACAGATCTATAATTTATTTACAATTTGCAGGAATTAAAATACTTTACACCGAATTCCCTGAATTTTTGTGGTGGAAATGGTACTGCGTTTACGACAAAAATAAACCCCTAGATGCCGTACGAGCTGTGAATGGTTGCAGGCTTCTTAGACATTTTCACATCCAAGCTCTATATGTTTCACAGTATTACATTTCTAAATGTTCAGCTTTTTTTTTTTTTACCCCAATCATAAAATACGAATCTCTGTAGAAACCCAGGGTGTCGTCTACTCACCATGTTAAAGGCGTGCATCTCGTCCATCCGTGCTTTGTACGCGTCATGGTAGCTCTGAATGTCACTGTCACAAAGCTGCAGAGGAAGAAGTCAAACAATGAGGGTGTGAAATATGTAGCATAAAGAATAAAAAAAACAATTTGAGAGAAGTCAGTGAGTGAGGCTCGTAAATTGTTTACAATTTTTAGGACTTGTGAGAAACAGATAAAAATACGTCATGCTATTCTGGGGCGATCAGATTTTTGCTTGCCAGCCTTACGAACCATTACAGCATCTTTACCGCTCGCTGAAATAATACTTCGGCTCCTATATACAAATATAAATCTCAACCTGGTGGTGGAAATGTGAAATGGATGTTTGCTATGTTTCCAGGAGTTTGTTTCAGGAAAGCGTTGTAAGATGAATGTAGTAATTGTGCGTCTGACCTTTGAGTCATCCAGCTCCAATCGGTGCAGAGCTCGCCGAACGTAGTCCACAAATGATTTTGCTTTGGAATAAACATTTCCGACCCGCTTCTCGCTGTGGAGCAAACACACCGTCTCTCAGTTCTGGCACACTCGAACAAACAAACCTGTCACTCCTTGACAGTGTGTCCCCAGTTTCGCTTTAAATCACACTTTGGAAATCAAGCTGCACCAAAGAGCTTAACAATGATGAATGGCTTCTGTCTACTGGGGGGAAGTAATGGATATTCGATGCTAATGGCTGTCGTTAAACTGAGGTTCAGAGGGCAGGAAGGGCTCAGTGTCTTTTAGGAATATTTGATCTTGTCTGCAGCATAAACATTTGATAAGGACTGAACCGAGGTCAGCTGCATTTCCCTCAATTGTTCCCGGATGAAATCCTGCAGTGGGAAGACGTATTTTCACACCATCTGAAAATGGGAACTTCATAAAGGCATAAAAATCCCTGATTTTTATTTTTTGAAACATTGCCATATACTTCAATAATTAACTTTAATTTGAACCATATGCATCAAAATTAGGACCTAACCCTAGCCCATAATCTGTAATTGGTTAACACAAATCCAAAGCAAACATTTCTAAACAGGAAGTGGCAAAATGCCATATCTGTACAGCTGTAAGTACTGAGCACTAGGCTTGGAACACCTGATCTGTTGAACTTCTTTTTACTAAGTTCTGCATGTGCTCATTGAATGACTGTGCTGGACCTACTATCAAGATGAAGAGCTAAAATTAACGCTCACGTTTAAAGGCACAGGGCTCTATTATTGTTCAATCAACTTGTTTATACTGATACAATTCTTCAAAGTTTTAATGGTTGGAATGACAATAGTCGGTTATGGTTCTGCAAGTCTGTTTACCTAAAAGATAATAATTTTGGGTATTATCTTGCTAATATCTAAAAGTAGTGACATGAAGAGCATTTTGATCAAAGCCAAACAGCCCAAAATGTCTCGCATTTCTATCTCATCGTCTGTTAACAACGTAACAGACGACTGTCAACACTTCCAAGCTAATCTTTGTTTCAACAGGGTTATTTTCAACTCCACGGTCTGGTATAATTCATGGCGCGCTCCATAACTGTCTACATGTGGCTTTTGTTTGCAAGTCTCGGTTCATTTGAACTCAAACAAACCAGAAACAAAAAGTTTTCCTTTTTGGTTCAGTGCAGTAAAAGCAAACCTTTTGGGCCGCTTTGAAAGCTCGACGCCTGCTCTGTTCTGCGACCCGCTCACAATTTTAATTGTTGCCATGACCGCCTGTCATACAAAATGTCCTAAATTGCTCTTTGTTACCTTTTATAGGAGCTGTAGTGGTCCCTCAGAATAACATGAAGCACTGCTCGGAAGAACAAAGACTCCATCTGAATCTGAAGCAAAAAGATGAAGCGCTTTACTGTGATGTTGCTCCAAACGGTGGGTGAATATTTCTGACACTTCCCCAAAAGTTAATGCAACACCAGCAGGCAATCAAGCCTGCTTTTGGATTCGTGCCTCGGCTCCAGCGGTAATAATCAATCTTTCTGTGATTGCATTAATATTTATAAACATTCCGTATTAATGGCAGCGGGTATCATGTGTCGGAGTTGGCCCGCAGCCTCTTAGCTCCATGTTTTTGAATAAATACACCAAAGTCAATCAACGACTTAAAACAACAGCAGCAGCATTAATGGACTGATTGTTTAAATGCATGCAGATCTACAGCAATGATACAGAGCGGCCTGGGAGGTTATTAATTGTGCGTGCTTGTGGTTTGAAATGAGCTGATGGATTTGTTTAGCTGAAAGTAATGATAGATCCGCAACGGTTGTTTCCATTCTTGTGTGACGATGACTTTTAGTTTAACGTATTGAGAGTGATAAGTAGGAATGCTTTACTTACACCCTGGCCAAGTGAGACTCGCTCCAGAGCCTGTTTTGTAGGAGGAAGAAGAAGGAAAAAAGATTGTTATAATGGAGTGTGTTCTGGTAGGGGAAACTTTTTTTTTTTGTAGACACAAGGGGGAAAACAAAGCAGTGCTGATCTGAGACATTATAGCTTAATATGCTGATGACGGCTCATGGACAGCTGCTAAATCGGCCGTAGTTTTCTTTCAACACTCAATCCATGCAGTACACCAGACCCACAGCATAATGCTCCCACTAACAGTTGGTCAGAGGTTTTAGGTTTTAAAATCCCCATTTCAACTCCTCCACACATGTGGTGGCTCTCAGAGGTGTAAGTAACAAAAGAGGCCATGATTAATCATTTGAAAACTTGTGTAGATGATTATTGTTATGTTCAGAGCAATCAAAAATCAATCAAACCTCTTGAAAACACAATGAGAAATAGCTGGCATAACCTGGATGCGTAAATGTGCCAACATTAAAACTGATATTTTATTAAATTCATTTTCGGGAAAAAAAAATGCTTTTTTGTTTTTTCTAGAATTAAAAAGAAAAATCTTAAATAAAAAAAAAAAAATTAAAAAAGCTAAAAACAAGGTAACTTCTTGATGTCATTGTGCATGGATCTCTTGTACCGCACTTGGCTTTTCCAGAGCGAGTTACTCACTCATGTCCTCCTTGCTGCCCATCTCCCCCGACCACAAGAACTGAGCCCCCACTTTCACCCGCAGCCCCACAACATAATAATTAAAAGAGTATTAGCTTCATCTGTGGGTGATGAAAACGGTCTTGGCTCATCACCGTTCTTCACTGTCAGATTGAGGGTTCTGCTAACAAAGACGTGCCTGACAGCACACATTTCTTTGTGTCATCGCACTCACCAAACATGCTGACATCCTGGCGTTCCTGCCGCAGAAACAGGACTGATTGCGGAGGTACTGACTCAGGGGGAAACCACACGCAGTCTGCAACGGTTTCTCTGACGGGGAAGAGACGGAGATAAACTCAAGGGTTTGCTGACTGAGCATTTGGGCTCTGAAATGTTCCACTAATGTGATTCCTCGTTTTAAAAAAGGGCAAAATTGCAGCTTGCATCTGTGCATATTTGCATCACCTCAAGCAATCCTAAACAGGGGGAATAATAGTCCTTTTCCCTTGCATGGCAATCAAAGACAACAATGTATTTTATTACAATTTGTTGTTGCAGTAAATCACAAAACTGTAAAAGAAAGTTCAACTATGAACTCTTTTGCGAGACACTAAATTGTAGAATTTCACAATGACAGGTTTTTATTTTTCATCACAGTAAAGTTGTGATTTATTTCCTTCAGTGAATACAGAAAGTTAATCTTAGCAGTGATCCCACAAACACAAATATTTATGCATTTCAGTCCCAAGATTAAATTCAGTTATAATCCACTTAATTCTACATAATGTGTTTTCTAAAAGGAATCAGTATTCAGGAGGGAAAAACAGTTAACTTCATTTGGGTTCAAATGATAAGTTTGCATTGATTTTTCAGCAGAAATGGCAAACGTTTTCAATCTGCTCTTCTTTTAAACTTTATTAAAAATATATTCATAGTCTCTGGTGCATAAGCTAAAAGAGAAAATATTTCAAATCTGCATTAAAACACAGAATTCACAATTATGACACGCAGGAGCCTAACCAAAATTAAGCAGTTTAAGGGAAACGTCGTATGTGAAAAAGAACCTACAGTGTTTGTGAGGTTGTAGAAGTTTTTAGCGTTTTGAACAACACATTTCCGAGCAAGGGAGTTTCAAGAGCCTTCACATACATGCATATTTCAAATGGGAGGGTAGTGGGCGTTGCTATCTGACGGCCTGACATCCTTCTCATGTCATTTCTAAAAGGGGTCAGTGACTGAGGGCGAGGAACGGTGCATGCAGAAGGATGCAGTGTAAGGAGGTACTAATAGCATGCTGCTTTCATGTGTTGCTGCGGTCAGGTTATACTGTTCTGGACACATAATCACATTAGCAGCCACGTTGACTTCCCCCTCTGTCCAGCGTATGACCTGCTGACACAGAAGCTTAGAAACAAATGGAAAGGAGAAGCCCTCTTCTCCCCCCAACCTGTCTGAATGTTGGAGGTATAACAAAACGGATACCAAGCGTTTATTTTTGGCTCCATGTTCGCAAATGCAGGATTTTCTTTTTTCTTGTTTGGTTTACATGGAGATAAGAAAAACCTTGTTGTGACAGCTTGTTGTGGTAGAGGAATGGCCAAACCAACTGCTTAAGAGGCAGAACAGCTTACAAAGTGAGGCCACGTGGAATGTGGTGTGCTTGGTTAGCCTTTAGCCAGGAAAGTCTAAGAGCTGACATGCTGGAAATAATAACACCACTCTGTCCTTTGCTGTTTTTTATTCCTTGGATACCTTGATGGACTATTCATAGCTGCAAGTACAATTGAAGCATGTACTCCTGCAAGTAAGAGACCTTAGGTTTTCACCATCACCATAGCAATATGTCTGGTTATACTATCTTACAGAGTACCAATTCTTCTTGGATAATGGCAAAAATAGTTAAGGAATAGTTTGAGAAGAAGTATAAGTTTGAGACATTGATTTGGTGTCAAATTAATCAGATCTCAATGCAACCAAACATCTATGGTATATACTGTTCCAGGGGCTCCAGGGCCACAAGTGGCTCCTTGGAGCTTCTATAGTGGCTCTTAATAGCTGTGGCCAAAAATTAAAAAAACCCAGCTAGTATGTTTAAAATTAGATATAACAAATGCAGTCTTTTAAACAGTTTTTGAGTTATTTTTTTGCAATATTTGCATTGAATTTCCACATAAAAACAATTGGTCATTTGGTTAAAATCTGTGCATTTTTAAAATTATTTTTATTTTTGTACATAATTTTTCATCCCAGAGAGAAAAAAATCCATCTTTTTACTAAATTTTATTTTTATTTTAAATCTGAAGAATAGACAGAAAATTGTGCTTCTTTAAAAAGAAGAACATATCTACAGCCAATATTTATCTAAAATTGTAAGTTGTCTTTTTTTAACCAAAAATACAAGTGACATTTGCGACCCTGAGTTTTATTTGACCGACCTGGGAGAAAAAAAAATTGACTCTTCAGGTTGTAAACGCTGCAGACTTCTCTGCTGGACAAATAAGTATGAAACACGGTGCTCCCACCTGGCAGCTTCCAAAACAAGGACCAGCTGCTAACTTCAATCAGAACTGTTAGAGAAGCATGAAGTGAGACCGACAGGATAATCCGAATGTTCATAATATTATGCTTAATTGGTGCAAAAGCAATAAAAAAAAAGGTAAATGTGTGTTATCCTGTCAGAACAGGTGTTGTTGCTTTTGCGAAATGCTATCCTGATCCCAAATGAGGTAATCTCCAAATGAGGTAATCTCCACGGATAATGTCATTTAACGGAATTGCATAAATTCCAAACCGGCAGCCTAAATAAACGCATAACCTTGTGCGATGAAGTGTTTCAGCTTTCTAAATCCTTCGGAAAGGGTGGGCCACCATGGGAGCTGGCCTGCAGCCCACACTACAAGAGTGGGCGAAGGCCTCAGTTAAAAAGTGGCAAAGCGTGGGATGGATTGTTTTTAATTGGCTGAGACGGTATCACTTTCTGCTCCTGGTTTCTGATGTTCAGACGAGCTCTGATGAAGTTGATGTGGAAAGTCAAGTTCTTAACAAGAAGAGGCTGCTGTAACAGCAGGAAGACACATGTAGACAATTTCACACCGAATAAACTAGAAACTGAAGAAGATACAAAACCTGGCAGATATCAGGCTCACAAATTAGAGGCAGTGAGACGAGTTCAACTCAGAGTGCGAAAGATGAGTAAAAATTAATTCCTTCACACACAGAAGCTGTAGAACAGTTCCCTTTGACTCAGTTTCCTCTCCGAGTACAAAGGTTTTGAAATACTGAACTTTCATCAGCCGGCGCTGTAAGGACTCCAACAGTTGAATCCTGCAGCTCAACATGACCTGTAGATTAGGAATTTGGCTCAGTCGCTTCACTCTCAGTGGAATATTTGACTTATTTCCCACAAAAGCCACACTGAAATGTTTATGTGGCTAGTGGGAAATGAAGGAAGGTGATGGTTCAAAGTGATAATATCAGAAAGTACAAGAGCCGTGAGCTAAAGCTAAAACAAAATGCAGCAACAAAATGTGACAAAATGTCCAGAAACACAAACAAAACCATTCTAATTTGGCTTTCTTTTCAGAAGAATTCAGCAGAATTAAAAAAATAAAGCAAAAAGCTAGCATTTTAAGCTAGCATGATACATTAGCCATCAGCATTTTGTGCAGTTAGTATTGCAAGGACAGCTGTCTGTGTGTATTCCTTACAGAGAATGTACCAATACCCCTGATGTTTAGCATGTTCTTCATTGGCAAAAAGCAGTAGTTATGTTGTGCTCTGTTCTGTCTTCCTGTTACCTGCTAAGTCTTGCTCTCTCTTGATCTCTGGCACCTTCAATAAAAGTTGACAACAGCATTTTCTTACAGCCTCTCACGTTTCTGTGCTTCTTCCAGCTTTCATTTGTTGCACAAAATTACCACTAAAACTTACAAAACTTGAGTCTTCTACAGTCAGAAACACCATCAACACTAAAAAGCGTTGCTGTCATGTGCGTCCTAGAAGAGCTTAGCATGAGTTGATCTGGAACTGCCGAAAATTCAATCTTTTTTTTATTGAAGAAAGGCTATGATTTGACTTGTTTTTATAGTTTGTGAATATAAAATTGACAACATATTTTCATGTTCCATTTGAATTGAACGTTCATTCTGTGTTTTATTCCCATTTTATTGCTTTATTTATCAAGGCGCTGGTTGGCCTCAGGCATTCCTTGAGATTTTTCTGTGTGTGTGTGTGGTTACCCTGTCCGTCCGGGTTGAACTCCTCAGACAGCAGGTGATAGCAGCAGCCCACGCCGCAGACGGCCGACAGCTCCGGCTTCGCCACAAACATCCTCAGCGTGCTCGCAGCCAAGTCTCCACACGTGTGCAGGCCGACCATGACGGCTTCCTGGAGTTTAGTGAGAAACACGCAGGGCAAAAAAAAGAAGAGAACAGAGGAGGACGGGAGAAGATCGATGGTAGAATTTATTGACGATGACAAAGGCAGTCACACCACTGACTCGCTCTCTACTTCAGCAGGTGTAATTTTAGACGCTGCTGTGGGAGTAAAGTTTGCTACTAACCCATATGGTTTCTTCGACTTGACACACATTCTCAGAACTTTTTTTTCTGGAGGTGTCTCCTCACCTCTAGCTCAGTGATGAGATTCCGCAGCTCAGTTTCTGACGTGACATAAGACGTGAGCGGTGAAAACACAGCGTCGGCGCCCTCTCTTCTGCTCCGAGCTTTCTTCTCCAGGTTCTCTCTCTTTCTCCTCTCCCTCTCCTCCACACTGAGCTGACTTGGAGAAACTCTGGGGGACGGAGGATGAATCACATCTGCTGACAGAGCGCTCAGAAAGAGCTCCCCCGTTTCTGGACCGAGCTCCGGCTGAGTTCCTGCAGCCAGAACGTCGACTGACACCCCTAGATCCTCCTGAGAGCCACTTCCTGTTAAAGTGTCCCTGTCCTGATTCAGCCCAGGTTTTCTTTCCACCAACTCCGTTTGAGGCGAGTACTGGGCCTCCACTTGGGTCAGTGCTGCTTTCGAGCGTTTCTGGTACGCTCGTGAGAACTTCTTGAGCTTCCTGTTCCTCTCCTGAGCACCATGCGTATTGGTGCTGGAGGAGTCAATGCCGAACACCTGGAGGCCGTACTGCAGCGACAGGAAGGAGCTCAGGTAGCCCTTCCCTGACCCCACATCTATCACCTGGAATTCAATATGTATTTTCACAACGTTTCCTTTCTTTACAATTATTCAAAAATCAATTTCAATTAAAAGATGTATGTTTCACTTAATATTTCAAATGATTACATGAATAAACTTGCATTATTCTACCTGTTTGACTCCACAGTGCTGGGCCAAACAAGCCACCACCTTAGACATGCACTGGACTTCATGGGATTTCTTTGCGTTCATAAACTCATCTGGCTCCAGTTTATCTGTTACAAAAAAAAAAAAACCAGGTTAAAAAATGTTACCCCCCTAATCTCCACCCCCCCCCAAAAAAAAAACATCATCTGAGATGAACGTTTGTGGACGTTCGTCTACTGGTTTGTGTTCTTAGGATAAGGCCCTACCGATTTCTGCACACTCTGACTCGCTGCCTCTCAGGCTCTGCAGCAGCTCATCCCTGCTCACACACACTCCAAGGCCAGGAAGGGATTGGGCCTTGGCCGCCTCTACCAGCTCATGGATGTCAACCAGGCGGTTTGAATGAACGCAAAACCCAAATGTGGTCCTGGAATGCTCTGTTGAAAAGGAAAAACACAAAGTGATACCAAGTTTGAATATTTATATTTTGAATATTTATTTATTCATCTATTATTACCATTTGAAAGTAATAATTCAATAATTCCCAGCTAGAGCGGCTATGATAATGTCAATTAAGGTTGTAGCCAATTAGGAACTAATGATGTTGCTTGTTAATTTTGTTTATAATTGTAAAACACGTGCTAATGTTGCCAAATAATGAAACCTTAATGCATAGTAGCTCTTCTGAAAGGTTGTTGAAAAAAAATCTGATTTCTTTAACATTTGTGCACCATCACGTTTTTTTTTCTTTTTTACTTTTAACGCAACAACGTGAGAAAAAGTTCAAGGGGAATTGACACTTTTGCCAGGCATGCACTGTTTCTCTCTCTCTGACGTCTTGTCTGTATTTACCCTTTTCTTTGTGCTCTGGCTCCCCCTCCTGTTCGCTACCGGAACTGACTGCTGCCAGGACCTCTTGTGGCGTCACAGCCATAAACCGCTTCCACACGTCGTGTGTGTAAAACTCGACCGTGTGAGCGTTGGCGATGGCGAGAGTCACCGACAGGAAGCGCTGTACTTCATCTATCCGCTGCTGAATCACCGTAAGGCTGCAACGGGAGGATTTCATTTTGAAAAGCGGTTTAAAGAGAACCCCAAAAGCATGCGCACTGTTTCCTTCTCATGACGACGTAAACCAAGACGTTAGTAGTCAAAAAAAATAGTCGATTACTTTAGGCTCTTCATGCTTTTGTTCTTTATATTTTTCCGATATAAAAGCTTACATTTTATGGGTCAATATAGTGTAGAAAAATACTTAAGTGTCAACATTTAAATGGGAATTAATTAACAACAGTAGTATTTGTGAAGACCGTAATCTATCCGTGATCGAATAGTCCTGCCTGGCTGAACTACGTCACCACGCAGCGTCAGCAGGAAAACGGCATGCGGCTTGAGAATAACTAGCTAAAGTAGCATGAGAGAGTTATAAACGTCTGGTTTTTCGTGTTTAATTAAATTTTCAAATGGCGCCGACGAACCAGAAAAGGAAAAACGACAAAGCTCAAATTAAAGATGGCAATTTTAGGAAGGAAAGAAAATCGTCAGGCGGAGTAAACAAGAAAAAGAAGTGGATCCCACACAACAAATTTTTTGAAGGCAGCGTTAAAGAAGGTATGTGTGTCTAGTTTGTTCGTATTTCACCACTCTATATTACTTAATTTATTAGCTAACCGTTATTGGGTAATGTAGATTTGGAGCACTTTGTAGCATACGATAAAAAGGTGTATAATGACAATGTCTTAATATTCAATTCATTCCCCATACTCGGTTAAGTTCCAACCACAAACTTCAGTGTATATCCATGAATGTATTTTTTTTTTATTTTGTTTGAATATAGCTGAAAATGAGGTTAAATTACACGTCTGCAGATTGACAGTTGGGTTAAATTTGAACTTTTACAGTGCCATTCTAACACATGAATATTCATTTATGAAGGCCAGTTTCAGACTCAGGCTCTCTAATACTTATGCTGGAGCTTTTAGATGCGTTTGTTTTAACATAGACACTGAATGTCCCTGATTTCTTTTCCAAGCTTTAAAACTAATCTGACACCTCTCCTAAAGAAATTCAGGATAAGCATTAAGACTTGATTATGTTTTTTTTTTCCTCTCATCAGGTCAAGGGTTTGCTTTTAAGAAAAAGGAGAAAGTCAGACATGAGTACAACAAACTGCTGAGAAAGGAGCGTAAGAAGAACCCCAAGGCCAATGTGGTGTACAAGGAGGAGTACCCAGAACACCTCAAGCATCTCTACCTGGCGGAGGATGAGCAACTGAGGAAACAGGCTTGGGAAAACAGAGTGAACAGGAGCAAGCTAAGGATGAAAGGGCAGATGAAGGATGGTACTGAAAAAAACGCTGATATTCCTGATACAGACTTAACTGGAGGGTCTGAACTGATGGACTCTGCTTCTGGGAACCCTGAGCCAACAACATCAGAGCAAGAAAGGTGACAGTTTGGTCCGTCATAACACAAATCCCATACCAGATGTAGATGATCAGCAGTTTGTGTTTCTGTGATTTCAAGGAGTTTGAATGTAGCGTATTTTTCATGTTTATTAGAAATGTTCTTTGGCATGTAGGATATATCATTTATTTTTACAAATGTGAAATGTTTCTCGTTTAATTTGGGTCTATTGTTGACATGAACTCAAGCTTTTCTGTTTGTACTTAGTGGTATTTTTTTGGTGTAATGAAAAAAAGATCACATTAATTATTTTAATTAAGAATAGGTACTTCTTAATTTCTGAACGGAAAATTAATCAGAAATATTTATTTTTAGTTTTCCAATAAGCAACCGCATGCGAAAGAAAATGCAACGAAAGACATCTTATCAGAAGACGAAGGAGGAATTTGAGAACATTCGAGAAAAACGGAGACTAAAGAAAGAGGTGAAGCGCCTTACTTGTTTAATTCTGGATGAATTTGCTGACCTTTTGGACCTTTTTTGACTTTTATTTGATTTCTCATTTAACAGGCATACCTGAAGAACAAGCAGCAGAGAGAAGAAGCCATTCAGAGGTATAAGCAGAAAAAAGTTGAGACTTTCCGCCTCCTGAGTCAGAAGACTAAGAAAGGACAGCCGAACTTAAACGTTCAAATGGAATATTTACTTCAGAAGATCCAAGGAACTGATAAATGACTTCTCTGATTGAACTGTGATTTTACTCTCTGTTTGCCTGGAATGACAAATTCTCAGCTGTAACTGAGGAAAACCTTTACATCTTATGTTTCAGGTTATTTTGTAACATTTGTGTACAAAAGGACTGTCAAACCACTAGATGGCACTGTGGTGTGGAGATATGTATTTTTTTTAAAAGTTTGTTTCTTGTACAAAATAAAAAAAAAGAAAGCACTTTTTTTTCAGCTGTCACAAAATCATTGTTTTTGACCAGGAACATACCAACAATCAACACCTCAGTTGACTGTTGGTGTGTGGTTATTGTGATTTTAATTTGCTGTCATTAAACAGATTAAATCCTCTCAGCCTACAGAAACTAGAGTTAAAGCTGCTCTGTATGTGCATGCAGCGGGTGAGCCCAGACTAAAAAGCCTGGGGCTGCTTCCTCATGACATCACATGGTTGCAGAATGACTTGTTGAGCAGTCTTCTGTAAGACAGGACTTCCTAAATGCAGAACACGCTCAATTCTTTGCTGATATGTAGGTTAGAGAAAGACTTGTGTGCTAAAAAGTCAAGAAAGGTAAGACAATTTTTCATTCTTTTTTTGGAGTTTGTCTTGACAGAGTTCCATCTTGAAGGTGTGAGAATAAATAACTGCCTATGATGTTGAGAGTTGGAAACAAATTCAAGTAATCTGAGATAAATCATCTGTGTGCAGGGACTCAATTTTTTTTATTTATTTTTTGCATTGTTTCAGTTTAATGTAAAGCTGAACATCTCTCCAAAAAGCAAAGGTTTTCTCAAATAAATCTAAGTGCACGCTTTATGTTGATTTTATGAACTTTACATGGTTTAGAATAAGTGAGACTACAACTTTGTAAACCAAAATGGCTGTTTGAAAACAGAGGTGCAACACCTGTTGAATTGGCACTGCAGTTTTACAGGCATTATCCTGTCAGGAGTTCTGTATGGTGGGGAACGAATTCAATCTTTCACACCACATTTATGTACCTCTGAGCTGCTTGTTTCTTGCGCTGTAGGAGAAAAAAAAGGAAGTACTGTATAGCTACATGGTTATGTAACTACATTTATCCTTTCCTTTACAAAAAAATCCGTCTGTCTTAGCACTTTAAGACTTTGTAAGGCAAAAATGAAGCACGAAATATAACTTGTTTCTTTCTTTTTGTTAACACTGAACCCTTTCCTAGTCTGGAGCAGATTCACAGCTTGTCTCCAGGCTCATCACTCTGGTGCTGCTTTTTACCTCTGAGATCATGGTGACTGGAAAAGCTTTGGGGGGTTTGTGAAGTGAAGTTTTCTTTCTTTTCCCCAATGACCACCACAGAGGTGAATGCCGTTTCCCACGCATTGTGTCGTTGAAGAGTGCCGGGCATGGAGGAGGAAGAAGTCAGGGTGAACGGCTGTGGACGGAGAGGGTCGGAGTGGGGTCACATCACCCTGCTGGATAAGACCAAGGAGTTCTTTCAGACCTGCGACGTGGAGGGGAAAGGCTTCATCACCCGCACTGATATGAGGGTGTGTTTCTGATTGAGCCTAACCTTTTATTGTGACCTACGCTGGAAATTGAAAGTATTTTCACTAAATCTGGTGAATTTAAGAAGTTAAATCACTTTAAAATATACAGATCAAGTCTATCAGTAGTTACTTAGCAAATCAATTATAATGACATTATCTGGGTGAGTATTCAGACTCCTTTGACACTTTTGTGTTTCTCCTGTAAATAGGATTTCTCCTGTAAATAGGATTTCTTAAGCTGAGTTTAAATTGCACCCAACTTGAGTCTTTTTAGTGATTATGGAACTTCTGAAGTCAATTGGTTATTTAGTAGGATGGGAGAGTAGAAAGTGGGGATGAATACTACAGGTAATTGAACTCATGCTTAAGGTTTTCATTTGTAACATGTTTTTCCAATTCATTTTCCACTTTCTGCCTGTCTGTCACATAAAATCTCAGTGCACTGAGGTTTGTAGCTGCAATGTGAAGAGCTTTAAGGGGTGCCAACACAAAACACTGAAAAGATGGTTTTTAAGGATGGGAAAAAAAATTTGAACAATCTGGATGCATTAAAGGTCTGCTGAGAAGAACAATAGGTGATGTGTTCACGCTTTTATCGGCGACACAATTTAGTCTAATAATAGTGAATAACGAGCAGGAAACACTCAGTGTCACCCCTCCTGGCTTTTTTTCCCCATTTATTGCCCTCTTAGTACACCCAAACAACCCAAGAAGTGCTGGAGGAGTACCACGGATGAAAAGCTTTATGTGCATCATAAAGCTCACTTACACACACACCTTAACGAAGACTACAATAGCTGTTAAAGAGCTGAGTGTGGCTGAGCTGCATTTTCAGGTGATTCCATATGAATTTTCAAGCATTGAAAGTCTCTAGGAAAAGATTTAAATGCTTCTAATATCACTTTACAACATCCTCACGAAGAACAGTTTCTGGTAAAGCTCACCTCCAGCATTTTGAAATCCCGTCTGTTTACATTGTTCTCCCAACAGAGGCTCCACAGAGAGCTGCCCCTGTCTGCTGAGGAGCTCGAGGATGTGTTTGACTCCCTGGATACGGACCGTGCTGGTTACCTCACGCTGGAGGCCTTTTCCTCCAGATTCAGTACGTTTCCTCCCTTCAACAAACTTTCTTTCTGCTTCAGAGAGATCCTCTTTAGCATTCACAGCTTGGAGTCCTATCAAAACTGAAGGAGATGATGAGCCTTATTGCCAAGTTGAGACCCAGCAACAAAATGTATCTCTTACGGTTGTTTTTTATGGGAAATATGCATAAAAATTTGTTAGTTTTTTTTTCCTTTTGAGGCGTGTAATTGTTTACAGAGGGAGTGTGTAGTTTAGCAAAGGAGAAGCCACACTTCCCGTAAATGCAAGTGACACGAAATGTTATGTTGGATTGTCTAATTGTGGCGTAAATAGTTATGAAGTAAAGAAATTCTTCAGAACGTTAAGCTGAAGAAAAACTTACAATGAATAATTTTAAGTTAGTCTGATGAACCCTCTGATGTTTGCTGACACAGTACACATCTAAAGGAGGGATTCAAGCTGCGTTTCAGAGCAGTCCCTCCAGTCTGGAGTTCAGAATGCGTTTAAAAAGCGTGAACTGAATCCAATAAAGCTTATGTTTGATAGTTTGAAAACCATTAGGGTGTAAAAGCGCGGAAATATGTAAGGAGAGTGGATTTTAAATAAGCCGTGACGAACCCGATTCAGTTAAACGCTGAAACTGAATTACAATAGGCTTTTATACCAGAGAAATTTGCAACAATCCACAGACCTTTAACAGCAGAGGCCTGAATGACGCGTTTCAGAAATAGATCACCCACATGTTCACATACTGGAGTGTTCATTCAAACTTTGAAATTGTTTGGGTGTACTTCAGGTCAGTTCCTGCACGGTCGGAGAATCTCTGTCACAGATGACCAAACTCAGGCCCCAGGGCCTGTCTTTAAGGCTAAGGAGGCTCTTTACCAAAGTCAGTGGGAAGCCAGGCTGTCGGGGGTAGAGGACGAAGAAGAGAGGCACTTCTGCATGCTGCTGGAAAGTCTTGGCGCCAGCAATGTGTTCGAGGAGTAAGCTTTATCCACCTTTGTCTTGTTGTTGCTTTGCATTTATTAACAAAGCCCATCATGTCCAAATGTATTTAGCAAATCCCTGCTCTCTAGTCCAGGTGAGGTGCGCAACCTTTGGGCCCAGCTCAGGCGAGACGAGCCTCACCTTCTGTCCAACTTTGAGGAATTTCTGGCCAGGGTAACATACCAAATCAAAGAGGCCCATCAGGAAAAGAAAGAGATGGAAAGTGCCCTACAGAGGTAAGAAAATGCATTTTTTTAACAAGGCTTTTTCACAGAAATTGAAGGGAAAGAAACAGTTTTGTTTTGGTTAATGGGACTAATAAGTCCCTATTCTTTTACTTTGCTCTCATTTAAAATTAACTGATTATTAGTTTGAGTTTACAAGTAATTCTATATCTGTGTCAATTCACCTGCAATCGAGGCAAAGACTTGGATTTATGACTGTTGGTAGTGCAAGAAAGCATTGGTATTCCTGAATGTGTAATGAAAATAAAATTAAAACCACTATGTTCTCTCCTTCCCTCCTCTGTTTAGCAGAACAAAATGTTCTCTGGGTGAGTTGGGGGATTATGTAAAATTGCAGTTGTTTTTACAAACAGCCTGCATCAACTGTGTACAGAATTTCTCATGGCAGCAGATGGTACTCTGCAGCTTTTCTCCTTTGCACTTGGCCAATTAGCTGTTTAGAGTCTTGTTTTTTTTTTCCCCAAATAGGTGCAAATTTCTATAAATCAGTCTGTAAGTGTGTCAACATAATTATTAATACCTAAAGTGGAAAGTAGCATAACCTCAAGCAGAGCCTAGAGAATGGTATCTTTTTTTAGCTGTTTTTTTTTTTGTATAATGCAATCAAAGTAGTTGCTTCTTCATTCCAGGAAGACAGCGACGCATGACAGCGAGATCCGCCACTTGTACGAAGAGATGGAGGCGCAGATCAAAAATGAAAAAGATCGACTTGTGCTGCAGGTACAGGAGCTCAAATACAGAGAAATAAACTGTCAAATCTGCTTCTCTGTTGGTCGCTTAAAAAAAATGAAGTGATTTCCTGTTCAACATACATTGTTTTTATTAACTTTTTTTTTTTTAAAGAAGCATCTCCAACTAATATGGAGACTATTTGTGATCCTTGTAAGAGATTTTCAAAATCATAATTTTCCTGAATTTGAGAATAGATATAAAAGTCTAATAGTTTTTTTCTGTTTTCTTTCTTTCACTGGTGCATGTCTTTGAGGTTAGGTCTTTATGTTTAGATTTTATCTACTTGTGACCTTTGAGCATTTCTAATCTGACCTGCAGGACTCGGAGCGCCTTCAGGTGCGCAGCCAGGAGCTGGAGCATCAGCTGTTTTCCAAGGAGCGAGAGCTGGAGCAGCTCTTCCAGAAACAGAGACGGGTGCGTTGATGCACACTGTACCTTGCACAATAATCTCAGGCACGCCTAGTTTCAGTACTGGACACTTGGGGAACCTGATAAAATTGATCCAATAAACATCACTGCCACCACAATAAAAGGATGGCTCCTGTTAACAAGCAGTTGTGGCAGTTTTTCCACATTTGCTCTAATTGTGGCACCTTCAGATCGGACTGTGATGTTATTGGACTGATTCAAAGGATTTTGTTCTTAATTGATAGGAAAACATTAGCTGCAGAAAGCTGAGTGAGCTCTCTCCTGCTGTGTCCTACGAACTCTGCCGTGCTATAGAATATTTGCTAATAATGCACTCAAGATTTGACTCTGCCTTTGTTCCTGTTCAATTATAGGCAAC